AAAAAAAAAAAAAAAAACTACCACAACACATTTTATCTACAAAATTTGTTATCCATTCACTTACCTAATTGTTATAAATATCGTTTAGCATATATGAATAATCATAAATCACAAAAGAAAAAAAAAAAAATGTTATATAAATCCGGAAAAAAGTGAAATTGCAGTCAAAATTGCATTCTTTTCCAAAAATTATTTCAAACAAGTGTTCATTATTAGTAGTATTTCTATTTCAAACTAAGTGTTCAAAATTATAGTCTTTTGCCGAAAAATGCTTCCCCGTCCGCAGGAGAATACAACTTTGGATTCAAAGAGAGAAATGGATATCCTTGCGGCGACTTTGGATGAAATGAACTCTATTAAGTCAAGACATGCAACTGTGAGTGTGGTAGATGCAATGCTGGAAGCTCTGCAGCGCGAGAGGAAGTTAGAGGAAGAAGATGAAGCTCTTATAAAATCAGTGTTTCAAGGGACAACGTGAGTCCTGTGGTTTTACCAAGGATTGATGATGAAGATTTAGATGATGATGAGTATTTATTTGCTACCGAAACTGATGAAAAATCAACTCAGAGGATAAAAGTGCATGAAGAGAATCATTATTCTAACCCAACAGATATTTTGACAAAAGTCAGCGTTGATAGCTTCAGCAGTCAAGATAATGCCGGTGCTTGTGGGGCTCCCGATAAGGGAAAGTTTCTTTTCAAGTCCTCTTCTGTTCGGGTTTCAATTGTGAAGAAACCAACTACAGAGTCGAATGGGAACAAGCTAGCGACTAACAAGGATGAAGAAGGAAAGCAAGATGCCGAACCCACATCTGTAACGAGCAGTGGATTACAATCCCTATTGTCAGTGTTAATAAATATCCACCACCGACTTTAGTTGAATAATCTAGAATTATTGAGATATAAAATGAAACACTAATTGAAGATAAATAAGAAAACTAGTGGGAATAAATATCTTGCCATGTGTAATTGTGTGGAACAATCTAGGAGGCATAATGTCGGCTAATTCCATCGACATCAATTACTATAAATATAGGTTTGTGCATGTGTGATAAGTAGATTGAGTGTTAGTGTCCCATGAGTCCTTCGGTGTTTTCGCGTCTCTAATGTGCTCCAGCATCTCGTCCTCGATCGTGGTCTTGATAGCAAACATGGCCTTGCCAGCTTTAACCTTCCATTTCTTCAAAGCTGCAGTGTTTTCCGGTGGTGTAACTTCACTATCACTCATAGTCAGCTGTATGGAAGCGATGAAGATGATGAGGGACAATTGATATCACATTGTCAATTCGTCAAAAAGAACAGAAAAAACAACATAGCCACCTTCTCCAAAAAAACCAAAAAA